GTCGACGGTGTACAGCCACGGCGCTGTTGGAAACTTGAGGCGCGACGATGAACCAAATAACTGCAGACTATCCCAAAGAGTTAGAACACGAAAAACTATTTGACCTTGCAATAGAATGGAAAGGGTTCGGTGATGTGCACGGTCATATGCATGAAAGCATCGAATTTGTTTACATGTAACATCAGCAGTATATACATGTAGTCGCCTCCAAAATTGACCATATGAGCTTTCAAATGAAAGGACAAAAATGAAAAAGGAACATATAAGAAATGTGAGTTATATAGTATTTTATTACCAACATGGCATCACTCAAAGATAATACTTGTCAAAGAACAGCTTGATCAGGCACAAAGACCTAGACATGTGAAAGAGAAGGGAATCAACACATAAAATTTAACCTGAATCTACCTCAACCATGAGCAAGTACGAGCACTGCTCCTTGCCTTGAGTAAGTGCTTGCTCTGGCTTAGTTTGCCCCAGCACAACAGAGATCAATTCCCTGGATGGCATATATTTAATATACGTTCTCCTCCTAGTACTAAAAATAGGACTACATGGCTTCCTAGCGAGTTAAAGCTAACAGAGATCAGAGAGCAAACTAATTTCACCAATTTATCACTGTAATCTCTATTGAATGCAACACTTTGCCACATCTTGTATTATCTATATGGCATTGCTAAAGTGATTCTAATCTGAAAAAAGAATAAAAAAATCCAACTTTGCCATGTTAAACAGCATCCATAGTATTGCATGATGTAGTGACCCAAAATTAGTAGCACTATAATTGGATGGTTCAAACTCATGTGCCAGATGTCCTAAAAGTTCAGACTTGTATTCACAAAATAAGGAAATTCAACAATATATCTTCAAATGTAACTATGGATGGATTGAACAACCAAATTGCTACCTGATAGAGCAAAATTCCATATGCTTTCTGTTTTTTAAACCGACTTCGAGGTGGATTCCATATTCTAACTGCACTTTACGGGAATGGATCTACAATCATATTAAGAGATTCCCTTCATCTTGAGCTGGTGCTTCAGCTGTTGGAACACTTAAGCTCAGATCTTCAGTATGATTTTCTTTAAGTGTAGGATCGAACAAAACCTACATGATAGATTGCTTACATTTATTAATAATCAATCAAGCAATTTTCTTGCACGGATAACACTATGTCATGAAATGTATTGCTGCTATATTTTCGTTCAGTTTTTGTAATAAGATAAAGTACTTAAATGATCTGCCAAGGAATAAACCAAATCAACAGCGACTCTATGGTCTAATTATCAGCTCTACACAATTAATAATACAAATAGAACTCTGGTACTAATTCTACAGAAAAGATACACCAAATACATTATCAGTCAGGTTCAGTACCAAGACCATTTTAGACATCTAAACATATTTATAGTATAGCGATATAGCTGCAGGTGTAAAGCGTGAAAATTCTCGATGGTACAAACTGTAAGCTGACAAATTGTCGATGCAATGTGGGTGCCAAATAAGTGTTGGCGTCATACCACAGTGCACTGACACAAAGCATAAAAGGAGAATAACATATTAACATTTCATTGTTGTACCAAAGAACAGACCATAGCTTCACAGCTAAGATTAATGCAATAGTAGCACTACAATGACTTGTCAATAGTGACCTCGCACACACTGGCATTTTTACTGTAACTATTTTATGAGCTTGCAAATAAAAGCACAAAAATGAGAAGGGAACAAAAATGAAAATAGCACATATATACACTATTTATGTTTTGAAGGATACCAGTTCACAAATAAAAAATATATCTGTTCATGGACTATTTGGCGCAGTAGCAGAATTTTGTTTAAAAAATGGACTTGTGCTAATGGGAGAGATAGAGAGCAGATGGGGATTGCTTGCCCTATCTTGGTGCAGCAGAGGCATCATCCGAGGTGAGGAGGTGCTGCTGGCTAGGGTTCCTTCCTGCCCTTGACGGCAGCGAGCGTGGTGGATGGGGAAATCCCATGGCATGCTCCATCTGCATCTGCAACAGAGGATATGAAGAGAAGGTGAGATGTAGGGGTGGAGGATCCCGGCCAAGAAAGGGGAAGGAGGGATGAACCTGGGGCCGCCGGAGACGGGCCGGCGAAGCACTGCCCGAAACCCTAGCCACGGGGGTGTGGTTGCGAGCGGGCAGTAGAGGCCGGGAGCGGAGAATCTGGACGGAGGGGAGAGAGGCGCGGAGCTTGGGGGGGCTCGGGGGCGTGCTGTGCGGCGCTGGAGCTCGCCGAAAGCGGCCGGCGTGGGCGGCGGCGGCGGCGGCGACTTCATGGGCGAGAGGGAGAGGAGGTGAGCCCGTGCGTGTGTGGTTGTGTTTTTTTTCTTTACAAATCTGCTCAGACCGCGCGTTGAATACTCTGAACGCCAGGGTGTTTTGTGCAAAAACGAAACGTTTTCTCAGATATCCACTTAAGATAGGACTGCGGGTTGAATTCTCACAAACAAAGGGGCTTTTCTGCAAAATCGCTGACAACGTACGACCAGAAGCAATAAGCGCTTTATTAGTACTAGGAAAATTGCCCGTGCGTTGCAACGGGAAAACAAATAGCACACGCCCTAAGCATGGCTCCAGATCCGCCCCTCCCCCAACTACAAACCGCTTAACGTTCGTCATGTCCTCTCTCTCTCTATCCCTGTGTATGTAACCTCAATGTAAGTTACTACAATAATATTTTTATTACTACGAACAAAAATATCCCATCGTTCACATAGCTTCAGTTCACGATCAGTTTATTTAAATGCCATAGGTTTGAGGGCTTGTTGAGCATCATTGTCATACTCTTGGGCGAAGGCTTTGCATTGTGTACACTCAATTCAGTTAAAGAAGGCCCTTCATTTGTGGAATATCTAGGTTTTTTTATGCTAATACTTCTATCCATATGACCATCTGGCCATGCAAATTTAACAAATCAATTTTCAATATAGCATATTGCAGGAATCTGAACAAATATAGAGGCATATATTTGATTGTGACAAATAAACTTATAAAATAAAGTCTTTAAGGATAAACATTTTTCAACTTCCAATGTTTTTGTAATTATCAAGCATGTCTCAAAGAGCGACATAGCTTGGAAAACCATGCTAAGGATTGTCTTATTTTGGTTTATAACCTAGGTCGACATCAGTGGTAATTGAACAATATATGGACATTGGGAGTGCAATGCTTGACGATGAGTGAAAACACATGTGTGACGATGAGTGTATCTTCCATCCTATGCAAGGCCATAGTTAGTAAGTAGCATATTGCAAGTTTTAGATACATGGTTAGAAAATATTCTAAAGCGAGAAAAACAAAATTGACCCTGGAGAGAGAAAACAGTGACTGTGCCTTAGGTTTCAAACCCCCTGATAACAGTGGAATTCGTGTTTCATAGTAAAAATAACCTAGTGTAATTCCTATATGAAAAAGAAAGGAAACACGGTATCAAGACAATCAAATATATTAAGGTATCATACCATAAGTCTTTGCTGCCATTCTTCTTCTTCACGTAATTGAGGGAACTACACAGCGCATCATGTACTTCGTAGCACGCTTTACATTCAAAGTCATTACTAACCGAGCAATGTCCTACAAAAACATTGGAAGTAGAACCACCAGCACCCAACAAAGGAAATTTGTTCATGGCGGACGATTGGACAAAATAGATGCCACAGGCTACCGATCTACACAAATGGGCATTACCAAGTAAGTTCATGTTCAGGCCCTTCCCTGTGTGACATTTGACATTCAAAATCATGATCAATTCAGTTCCTCTATTAAACCAGGATCATGAGTGACACTGGATTCTACCCAATATCCCTAAGCATCAGAACAAAGAGTGAAGCATTCAGAGCTTTCAACAATTGCCACGGATGTGTGTGTGGCAACGGGAGATTTTTTTTGACATGTATTCAAATTTAAGCAAATATGTACAAGCTTTAGTAGTAGACAAACAACCAGATTGGACATCCATAACTTTCGTTGTAATTATCAAGTGGTGCAAACAATCGATGCAAAATTAATTCCATCAATAATATGATGAACAATTGAACACATAATTTGGAAAAAGAAGAAGATAGGCACATGTCAAGTAACTAATTCAGGTTAAACATGGTATTTGACGAATTCTAGCATGATTTAAGTTTGCATGTCGAGTGTCTCTTAGCGGGAAATTCTTGGATTTTTATATGTTGGTACCTATAATTGTACGGGGGCCTTCGTGACATTTCCAATCCTGAAGACATCTCAGTTTAGGGATAATGATGACATCTTCCGGTCTTGACCTGTCTGCAAATAATCCTTAACAACTACTCCCTCCGTCCGGAAATACTTGTCATCAGAATGGATGAAAATAGATGTATCTAGAACTAAAATACATCTAGATACATCTATTTCAATGACAAGTATTTCCGGTCGGAGGGAGTATAATTTAGTTTCAGTACATACCCATAAGCTTTTCAGCATGCAGACAACAATGGTACGGTTACCTAGTAAAACTCAACCAGATCACCTTGTGTGCATGCTGAATTTCTACTATACGGCTAGCTTGGTTGAGACAAAACAATGCAACTGATCTATATTCATTAATTAAAACAAAAAATACCAGGTGAAGGTATCCTAATTAAAGAAACAAAAGTAAGTCCCCGTAAAAGAAATAAGAAAGAACCATCTCTAGGAAGGAGAGATTAGACCTATACCAAGGCATTCGTTAGCTAAACCAAAAGAAAATTTATCTCGGGAGCTTGATTCGAATTGCTTACCTTTCCTGCTCAAATTTCCCTTTTACTTAAGAGCAAATTGATGTCTTGCACTTAAGGGTAACATGATTGAGAACAACAACACTGAAACTATCTTGTGATTTTCTAATAGAGAAGTACACAATTAATATGACATATACTTATAATTTATTTATAGGAAAGGCCGCAAAGGACATACATAGAGGTCTGGTCACAGAAGCATCACCCATGAGTAGTCTTTACGCTCAGACGTTTAGAGGAACACTTGTTGCACACACTGCAATCTCACAATAGGAGAGAAAAAAATGTTACATATCGGAGTGGAGTTAGGGAGAGATGTTACTGCTATATACCTGGAGATGGTATGCGCATTCTCTCAAGCTGAGATGGCTCTCGCATCCTCGAAAGCGATGGTGCCTACGTGCGCTCACGTACTCGCTGGCTATGTCAGCTCCCATGTCCTCCGAAGCGGCAACAATCCTCGTGAGCTTGTGTCCTTGCTGGCTGCGGCGGTGCCACTGCGAATCCTGGCATGCTGCAGCATCGCGGAAGAAGGATGGTACTGAAAACATTAGTGCAGAAAGCAAATCCAAGAAAAATCTGAAGGCTAATATAGTGGAAAAAATATACGCTAGTTCTCAAGATATTAAGAATCACAATTTTTTACATAATTCTTTATATGAATCTTTATCCTCAAACTTGTTCTTATACATCTCTAGATGCACACCATTTATTAAAAATAGTGTTCATATAGCAGGTGAATTCACCAATCAAGTAGCCACCCATAAACTGATATATCCACAAATCTAATTCCATCCAGCAAACAAACACCAACTAAAGTCCATCAATTCTAGATAATTCTGACATGCTTTCCCAGTACAAAGCTCCTGCCATGATTATAGCGTCAGAAAAATTCAGTGCATGACATATGTCATTTGGCAGGAACACAACATCAGGAATCGCACAAAAGCTTGAACTCACAAAATCATCTTTCAGACCAAAATTCAGAAAACACACCATATGCCCAATAGCAAGTTGAACCACACTAATACGGAAATATAAATACTTCAATTAACCCCCAGGGGAAGGGAACGGGGAGGGAGAAGGGGTGGAGTAAGTCCTGTTGTGACGGCGCTCGAACTTCCAATCGAGGATAACATCGTCAAGATGGAGCTGACGGCGGACACGGCGAGCGCCGGCGCCATCACTCCCATCACGGCGGATGGAGATGCAGCGTCTACTCCTCCACCCCTCCTCTTCCCCATGCAGCTACAACTGAGGCAATGCCGCCGTCTGCCTTCTGGAGTTCCCCGCCTTCGATCTCGAGCACGCCATCCAGGACGGCGTTGGTATCGACCGCCAACCTCAATCTGGATCCGGTTGTGGCTAATGTACAGACTAATTCCCACACAAAACATTCATTAAGTTAGCATTGTCTCTTTTTGGTCTATAGTTCAGGGACAAGCACAATTGCTAGCAAGCCCCAAATTGGCGCAACCAGCAAGCAGTTGCTGGGTAGCCACCCATTTCCTCCCACCAGCTCTTCTACACGCAACAAATATTCTCCCGATTGATCAACAAATCCCCAAACCGAGCAAGCATACACGAAATTAAGGAAACAAGCAATTGAAGGAAGCTGACCTTGTTGTCGGGGTGGGCGAGGAGGTGCCCCACGGCTCCAGCAGCAAGCACGGCATGCGCGCCATCGTCTACGCCGCAAGCAAAGTACTCCGCCGCGGCCGCTCATGGACGAGCATGGCTGGTGACGCGCCGTGACGTCCGCTAACACGGCACCCAGGCGGAGGTAGAGGAGCTTCTTGGTCTGGTTCCCGAAGGTCTGGTTCTTGATCTCGCGGAGCACGACCACCCGCTCGTGCTGCCCCTCCCCGCATCCTCCTCCTGCTGGTCCGCCGACGCCGCCGGGGCCCCCGGCCGCCAACCTGGCAGCGAGCTCCTCCGAACGCGTCCCCATGCAGAAAGGCGCAGAGGAAGACTCCGAAGGCGCGGACGCTCGCCGGCACCGGCCGGCGGCCCGCGGCCGGCGCGGCACCGGATCGACCGCCGCTCCTGGCGGCTGAGGCGAGGGAGAGAGAGGAGATCCCGATGGGTTTCTTTTTTTCTCACTTTAAGGACCGCGGATTTAATACCATATACTGTAGGGATTTATTTGCAAAATTCCTGATCGAAACGTTTTCTCACTTACAAAAGGACTGCGGGTTGAATACTGAAAAATACAGGGACTTTTTTGCAAACCTGCCGTGACGTACGACCAGAAGCAATCGGTGGTTTATTAGTAGGGAGAGACTAGTACTAGTATAGTAAGTATAGTATAGTACTAGTACTAGTACTAGTACAAATGCCCGTGCGTTGCACCGGGCGAGAAAAGAGACACAACCTGCTTCATGTGCTAAAAATCATATATCCCTCACAATATTATTGAGAAATTAATAAAGCGTGTGGTTAGCCTTAAAAAATCTGCTTCATGTGCCATTGTGCATTATTTTTTATATCCAATTTTAATAAATGTCGATAATAAGGTTAAACGTGGAAATTTTCTTATTTTTAATAAAAGTTAACATTTACATAAAAATTGAAACAATTTTTTAAGAATAGTTAATGTTTTTAGTAAATTGGAACATTTCTCTAAAAACAAATTTTTTAATAGATGTTTCTTAAAGAATGTTTTGTCTTTTTGAAATTTATATTTTATTTGTAATTGTTTTTTGCACTATTTAGGCTTGGACCGAACATAACAACTTGCCTACACAAACATGCACGCTCTCAGTTCCCTCAAAAAACACGCACGCTCTCAGAAAAAGAAGATACTCTCATTGCGAGATGAACTGCACACACGGTCTCTCTTCGCGTTCCCCATCTCATTATCCCTTGTAAACATGAACCATAACATAATTTGCATGTTTGAAAAGTCGCCCGGGATTCAGATATGTTGGCTAAAGCAAATGCATAAACAAATTCTGGTGTTGTTGCTCCATGCAGTCCCCTTGTGCTGCATTGCTGAAGAAACTTGACTGGGATTCAGTCATCTAGTCTAATAGCAAATACGTAACTCAATGCCTCACTATGAAATGGATAAACCTTATGGCTCTCTTAAACAAAAACAATGATAATTCTTGTGGGATCTTCTGTCACATAAAGTGTGAAAATTGCAAGAGCATGACAAATAATCGTACAGGAAAGATAAATTGAGCACTGAGACATCGAAGTAAATCAGAGATAGTCATGATCCACCCACCCAGTCGCTCTGTTGGCTTCATGTATTTGCTCACCTCTCAACAAAGCGACCACTATAACATTTTACTTCCCCAAGTAGTGTTCCTCTATGTCGTCGCATGGTTTCATTCGAGTTTTTTTCCGCTATTATTCACCAATGAACATAGAAAGGGGTCACCAAAGGTATCTTTAGATATAACTTATCTAGGGCCATCATTTATGGTATAAGCATACAAAGGTATATTCAGATATAACTTATATACAACAAATAGAGCCAACCAAAAGGTGTCTTTAGATATAAAGCCATTTAAAAATTGTCACCCTAGAAAAATATTGCATGCTCGAGAGATCTGTATGCACGTTTCCATCTCTGTTTACAATTTACGACCATGTGAGCATGGTCTATGTTACAGTAAAAGAAAGCGAAGAGAACTGAATCGAAACAGATGACCTTTGTACAGGAAGGACAACTAACCATGAATAGATTAGCTTTAAGTCACATGATGGGGAAAAGGTAGATTTACCATTGGGAAAAAATAGTTCTTATTAGCACTAAGACTCACATCAGGCATAAAAGATAAGGAATGCCAGAACATGGCATCAGTAAGAAAATAAAATTGCATAGAACAAAAGCACCACAATTTGAGTCGAAACCTGACATGGATAATAGACGATTACTTTTGCTTGAAAAAAATACATCAAAGCTTCCATTGGTCACTGAAACTTCTCCTGGCAGAATATATGGTTCAGCAGAAAGCTACACTACCGGCAAGTATGCAAGCTCATCCATGTTATCTGTTTTGCATCTTCTCTGAAATTAAGGACATTACTGGCATAATTGGTCCATCAATCACCCGCTGCTAAGTGAAAAATAATTAATCAACTGAAGTGGGAGCACACACTATATATTAGATAGCATATCGAACAATACCAAATGTACCAAAACTCAATGAGAAAAAACTCAGGGCAAAACTTATCGATGAGATTCTTATCAATCATCATCATCTTACAAATAACAACTCAGGATGACATATAATTATAAGCAGGTAGAACATTGCTCTTCTACAACAAAAGATCACGACAAGTTTATTGATCCAACTATTCAATAGTAGATAATGGTACAGTTGTGGGTAATGGAACAGACACATTCTATTTGTTACCCTGATTTATTAATTTAAAGGCAATTGAGAAGGAAATTTAAGATAAACATGGCCATTCTGTGTAAGCAAAATAACACAAACAGGATACAGAGATTACAACAATGTGAGTACACAATCTGACTTCATCTACCAAGACTAACAGTGGCAAGAAATAGGATACAGAGTTGCAGATTTGTTCGTAACAAAGAAAAAAAAGAATTTTCCGAATCACTAATTTTATGCACCAAGTATCATTCAAATAGGAATATGCAGCACTAAGATTGAAGAATAGTGAACCTGATCGAAGGTTGGATGGTCCGTAGTTTGGTTGAGGATAGAGATACCAAGGAATTGATGATCCCACTCTCTCTGTTTTAGTCATCAAGGGTGCCCAACAATGTTTTTTTGTATGGCTACTGCATAACGGAAGATTGAACACATGTCAAAATTTACACAAGACCATACTTGATTCAGACATCTGCCCCATGTGTCTCTAAGCCACAAAAACTTGCTCTCATCTATTACTTCAGTGTCCTGCAGCAAAAGTTGTTTGGTGTGCTACTGGAATACTCCAAACTGCCAGGAAATCATCGATTGGAAGCGTTTCATGACTATGCTCATCCTTTGGAATATTTGGGATCATTGAAACCACATGAAGAGACAGGCACAGATACCTCAGTACCTGTATTTGGTGGAGTAATCCATGGGAGCAATCACCAGACGACAGCCTTACGAGCTCCTCTATAGACAGTCTCCACGATGTCAACAAACTCTTCCTTGTCTTTCATTGCCCAGTTGATCTTGTTGTTGTTTCTTGTCCCAAGATCAATCATGATGTGCTTGTTGCGGAAGAAGAACATCACCGTTGACGGGTCGTACAGCTCGTACATGGTGTTGAAGTCAGGAACCTTGGTGATGTCAACATGGTAGATCAGGACAAAGTTCTTGATGGTCTCAGCCACCCCTGACAGCACCTCATCCGTATAAACATGAACAAGTAGATAGTCAGAAACTCGTAATGAAGTCAACATTCAACAACATATAACCATGCTAGATTGACGTAGAACAAAAGCTTGCTAAAAAGTTAAACTGCAAGTCTGCATTCAATAATATAAAACCGCTAAGAAATTGGATTCCTTGCACAAAGTAATAAAACAATTGGCCGTTAATAAAAGAAGAAAACCGCTCATAGCTTTACTTCCTATAATGGCAAAGTAGATGCCACCCATGCCACACACACACAACCGGCGGCGGGAGCAGAACACGGATGATTAAGTGAACGCGGATAGTACATGATACTGGAACATTTTCATCAAGAAATAGAAAAAATATACCTATAGTTTAAGAACATTTGCTTGTTCATTCACGGGAGGAGCTTAATTTTGATATCATTGGCAATTATTCCACACATGGCCATGAAAAAACAGAGTCAAAGCACTTACTGAAAAGGTCCCATTGGCATGCCGAAGTTGCCTTTTTACTCGATCAATTCTGAAAAGATCAATGCCAAGACTGATTAGAAGCTGGGCACCTTGTGTGTAAGGGGAAAATACACGATTTACTGCAAAGCCTGTGTAGAAAAGGCATGCATCAAGATACTGCACTATTTACTGCCAATTCTGAACTTACAGTTCAACCACTTTAGTGATGAAAATAGTCTGAACAAAATAACATTTAACTAAAAAGCAACGGACAGAGCATGCATCTGGATACTGTAGAAAAGAAAGAAACCAAGTCCTCATGTTTGAATTTTATGTCCAAGGCAATGATAAATAACAATAATAATGTATTGATTTTTCACAGAGGAAACATGTTTGTCTCCACGTGAACTGGTTTGCTAAGACACAGAGGATAGAATAAATAGTGATTTTAGGGCCCCATTTTTCACCCTTTGCTTCCCATTTAATTGGGACTCATGTGACCTTATCTTACCAATAGCGTCAGTCCTTAGTTCGAGCTAGCTGCAACACGTAATAGGTCTCTGCTCAAATATTCAGATCCTTAAATGTTTTATCTTTAGTTGTAGTCGCATCATACCACAAAATGCATTTTGTGAGAAAAATTGGAGGAGTAGGAAGGAATCGGTGGGCAGCAGGAGAAAACCTGTTCACGCTAATGTATTTCAGAATTTTTTTGAGATTACTACCTCTACCTTGCTGCATCTTCCTCTAAATTCATCCCTTTAGATGTAACTACTATATCTGGTTCTTGCCCATCCTGCAAAAATTGAGAGGAAATCAGAGAGATGAGGTTCTCCAAGGCCTGCCGGTGGAAGGTGGCGCTGCAGGTTGAGCGGGGTGGCGCTCCGGTGGCGACGACGGCGGGGCCCGGTCGGATCCGGGCGGATCTGGCCGGGACGGATCCATTTCCGGCGGATTTGGCGTGGAGGCGGCCGAATCCGGCGAGAATGAGGGCCGGCGACGCCATGGAGGTCCCTGTCCAGCAAGAAAGAGGGAGAGAGGTGAGAGGAGATCGAGAAGAAGGAGGAGAAGGGAGAGGGGAGAGGCGGCGGAGCGACCGGAGGCCCAGGGGGGAAGGTCACTGGCGGTGGGGCCTTGCGGAGGTGCGGGGTCGCCGGCGAGGCGGCTTGCGGCTGCGAGGGGAGCGAGGGCAGGAGGGAGCGGCGGAGTGGTCTGGTGGATTAGAGGTTTTTTTCTTCAAAAACGAAGCGTTTTCCCAGATCCAATTACAAAGGGACTGCGGGTTAATTACTGATAAACCGAGGGACTTTTTTGCAAAAAGGGCAGCAACGTACGATGATCGGTGATTTATTAGTAGGTAAAGATAAAGATATATAGGGAAAGATTACTAAATCTACCCTAATAATAATAAAGCAAATAGTGTTTCTGGTCGTCCGTCCAAATAATTGCCCCTGAATTAGCTATAAATTACCCGCTATGCCACCCGTAAGTTAAGAAAACGATTCGGTTTTTATTTTCAAAGGCGCCGCCGTGCTCAGTGGTTTTATAATTGCGATGCCCTACTTATGCCACAGACATCCTACCATCGTAGTGGCTAAAGGCTGTTGATTCTATACAGCAGACCAGGGTTCGAATCCTGGTAGTACGCTTTTTTGCCTCCTTTTTTCTTAGGCACCTCCTCCACACACCTTACGCCTTCATGGGCCGGCCTACCGGCTGTGACGCTTCTGTTTTTTTTCATTTTGTTTTTTCTTTTCTTTTCTCATTTCTGTTTTAGTTTTTCCTTCTTTAAATTTATTTGACAATTCCAAAATATAAAAAAAATTCAGTTATAATTTTTCAGAGAAATTATAAAATATGAGTGAATTCAAAAAAACTTCAGGAAATAATAAAATTTTCGCTATTTCAAAAAATATTGGTGATTTTACGAAACAGTTCGCAAATTATGAAAAATCACAATCTGGATAAACATGTCAGGAAGTACAATCAGTTCATGATTTTGAAAAAAATGATTGTGTATTCAAAACATATTTGTGAATCTGGAAAAAATGTCCATGAATTTTCGTAGAAAATATTCAAAAATTATATATCTTTTGTGAAATTCAAAATTCAGCCCCCAATTTAAAAAAGTCATCAATTCAAAAAATGTTAGCTAAGTCAAAAAATATTCATGAATTCAAAAACTATTCATGCATTTCAATAAATGTTTCTCTTAACAAAACAAATGTTCGTGATTGTATAAAGATGTCCTAATTTCAAAAAGATGTTTGTCGATTCAAAAAACTGTTCGCCGATTCAGAAGTATTTTATGTCTAGGATTTGATAGGTTTTTGGAAAGTCTATATGTCTAGGCATTGAGAGTAGTTCGTGGTCGATCAGATTTGTTTTTAAACATTTAAATATTCTCTTGCACGAGACAATGGCAAGTGTTTCGTGCAGTGACAAGCTCATTGCCTAGGGATTTACCACGTCGAATGCATTACGATCACGTGGACATTATGTCCATCATCAACGAGAGTGAGAAGAAAGATATGTGGCAACATGGTGAGCCACCGTGTTAAAATAGAGAACACTCATATGTCTGGATATTAAGTCATACTTATTTGGCTAGCATGTATTTTTTGTGTCTCCCGTTACAACGCACGCCCCCTAGGGGGGATTGACTACCGACATCATTAAAAATCTCTGGTCTATTTCTTTTTTGTCATAAATTTGATGTCCCGTGTTCTTTGCTCTCTTGCATCATTTATTCTTAATTATCAATCTGTAAAATTGATGACATATTGGTGCAATTTGCCTGAACTCGAATTATTTTATTTTGGGTCTATAATTTTTCTCATTTTTTGTTGTTCATCCGTTGCAACGCACGGGCACTTTTGCTAGTAAAAATAAAGCAAATAGTGTTTCTGGTCGTACGTCGTCGCCGTTTTGCAGAAATGTCCTTGTGTTTTCTGTGAATTGAACCCGCAGTCCCTTTTCAAGTGAATATCATGTTTTTGCACAAATCCCCTGTCATTCCGTATATTCATCCCGCAGTACTCCTTCCCCTCCATATTTTGCACCTTATCCGCACCCCACGCGGCGGCGGACGAGAAGCTGAGGGGCGGCGCCGCACTCTCCGACTTCTGCCTCCACCCCATCTACACGTCATCCTCCGTCCGCGCGGGCGCAGGCGGCTACCGTGCCCTGGAGATGGTGGACACGCGGCGGCCCATGCTGAAGGCGGACGACTACTCCTTGGGCGTGCTCCTGCTGGAGCTCCTCACCCGCAAGTACCCGACGGACGCGTCCTTGCAGCAGCGTGACGGCGACACGCTGGACCTGCCGCGGTTGGTGCAGTCGTGGTGTGCGAGGAGTGGACGTCCGATCTGTTTGTATTGGAGCTGGTGCCGATATAGAACAACAATGGAGATACAGAGCAAGCACACTACACCACAACAGCCTCACATAGGATACAGAGCAAGCACACGGCCATGATGCGCATTGTTGCTTGGGCCTCGAATCAGGAGGCATCGTGGCCTAATAATCCAGTAAAATTAATAGTCCCATATCGTTTTCTTATACACAATCCCACCAGTTCAAATATGTTTGTGAGCTGAAGAGAACAGGCGGCCTTGAAGGAGATGGTCAAAGAAGAAATCTGGCCTAATTTATAACAGGATAACCTGCAAGGGAGAGCGTCGAGAGGAGACTTGCCAATCTCCACCGGACGACGAGGAGGTCAAGCCCACGAGGCTCGAAGAGAGGAAGGGAGATGACGAAAGTGCGGCCGAGGCCAGTGCAGGGAGATGCTCCTGCTCGACTGTCCGCCAACACCAAGTGAAGACCAAGTCCGGGGAGGCTGCAAGGGGAGCACTGGAATTCGACTGCCCTTTCACTATTATTATTATTTTGAGTCATAGCGGAAGGAGTGCCAAAGCCCATTTTAGTAGAAAGCTGCTGCCCTTTTATAGTAATGCGGAGTGACATAATCAATCGAATTCGACTGGTTGGTTCCCCTTATTAGTCAATTGCTTTTGACGTATCAGGTGGGAATGGGAGAGCCTCTTTTCTTTCCGCAATGGAATCGGCTTAAGCTCGACCTTTTCTTTCATTTCCTATCATAGGGATATAAAAATAAATCCAATTGCGTTTTTCTTAGTTTAGAATATCAAAAGACATCCCACAACCCGGTCTTAGGTTCAGAGTCGCTTTGTGGGAACTTCAAGAGAGAGAAGAGAGATCATAGCTTAATATCAAAGGTCGGGTATACCTGCCTACGTTCGGCATACACATTCACTAGTTCCATTCGGAACCTTTCTCTAGATGGAATCCTGATTCGACTTTCAAATGCAAGAGCAAGAATGCCGTGAGGGAGCCCTATCTAAAAAATGCAAGGCCAGATCCCACTTTCTTTAATCGAGCGGGCAAGGGATCGCAAACATCTTTTCTTTTCAGAGAAAAGGTTTTCAAAAGATATCCCGAAGGGGTCTTAGGTAAGGTAAGGAGTGACAGCTCTATTCAATAAGCTGGCTCTTTAAGGGAAGATAGGGCATCTCCTAAAATGTGGAAGTTTGGTGCTTTAGAGATAGGGCCGGCACGCTTTGCTGGAAAGCAATAAGTCAACAAAA